GGGGACGACGCTTACTATAGCCCTAGCAAGTTGCATGACGACATGGAAGGCGAGTATTTGGCCCGCTAAAGTGAAAGAGGAGGGGCTCTGGAGAGCTATCCAAGCTGCTAGGTGGACTTTGTAGCGGCAGCCGATGTCATACCAGCAAAACTTGAGCGGAATTTTGTAGACTGCTATGAGCGTGAGCAGCAGGAGGGTGGCAAGACCGTATCTCTCCCCTCCGAAGACGTTCGCTCCTACTCCAAGAACGCCATGCCGACAAAAGACGCCTATGTAACCTGCGATGTCGTATGCCGACTGCTTTGCTATCCCGTAAACCGAGTCTGCCTTGAACTCAGAGCAGGTGCTCTCCCCCGCGTCAACCGCGTTCTCTTTAATGTCGAGGAAGCCATTTACCACGTTGTCCGAGATGAACGTGGTGTCGGAGATGTGCGGCCGTCGGTGGGCTGAGGCCTTGCCTGCCCGTGCAAGGTGCTTTATTTTGAAGCAGGCGTCGATGTACGTGGAGTGCAAAACCCGGCTGGCCTGGTCAGTAATGCCCGCAGCTTGACACGCGGCGCAGCTGGAAAAGGGGTTTGCCTCAAAGTGCTCCACTCCGAAAGTACCCATGTTCTGCACTCCGTGCCAGACGTACCCGATTTCTTTGCACGCCTTTGCGAACCCCTTCCGGAATGGGTCTGATGACAACCTCGGCTCCACACACCCATGCCTCTCGTGAATTTTCTCGACTGCTGTGCAGAAGGACTCGACAGAAACTCCCCCCCGTTTGCCGTTGAACACTAGCGAGTCGTACAGCTCCAGGAGGTCGAGACCGTACCACGTGGGCTGCCCCTGCCCGCCCCGCACCGCGTCGAGCTGAAACCCCCAAACGGCCGACCCGGGAAAAGCATTCGCTGTGAGCGGGTGCACGTGCACCTTCTTTCCGCTCACTGAACACGCGAAGATGGGGACCTCTAGCAGGAAGCGGAACTGCTGGTTCACATACAAAACAGTTTGCGAGCTTTCCTTGGTGAGGCAAGCCCCACCAGAGGGGCCGCAACTTTGGCACCGAGGCGCCTGGCTGACTTGTTGCTGCAAGAAGGCCTGGCCGGCTCTCATTTGCTCTTGTAACAAACACTCCCGGGCGGCGCAGCTTTCCAGGAAGATACGCCGCGAGTTTTCCCGAGTTGAAGCCCAGTTCTCCTCCTTCGCATGCCTTCTCCTCCTTGGAAAACCGGAGGGTTTGAACAAGGGCGTCAACATCAAAAAAGTGCATAAAGCTGAACGTTGAATAGCTCACACTTTCATGGCGGACGCTCTGCTGATTGTAGATATTCTTTCTGCGCAGGCAATGCTGACCCCTACATGGTGTTTCCATAGTTTGAAACATTGGTTTGGATAGATATAGCTGTACGTGGTCTGACGTTGTAGCAGGCTCAAAATGGCTGCAAGCTGTATGATCATGGATTCAGAGTAAGGCCCATCTACCAAGACCAGCTAGCAGGTGGATCACTGACCTGACATGCTTCAAAAAGCCACATCCACTTTGGCATATGCTTCCTGTGCTGCCTTGCTGAGCCTCAAGCTGCAAGCTGCCCCCAGAACTCATAAGTCTTGGACCACCAACACCTTTCTGCTGCACAGAGATGGATAAAGAGGATGCAACTCTCAGCTACTGGGCAGCTACTCACTGCATTGACAAGATGTCATGTCTACATGTCTTGCTGAGTGCAACGAAGCTTGACATGTCATACAAGGGTTGCTTTCCAGCTGAAACCTCTACTGTTAGTACTAGCTATGCTATGCTATGCTAGCTATACTATCATTGTCTCCCTGTGTAACTGCAGGCTTCAGAGCTTCAAGCTACCACGAATACAGCCCTACAGCCCGGCGGCCAGCGCGACATTGCTTTGGCATTGCACAATGACGCTTTTCAGAAGCAAACCCTGAAAGGCCAGAGTACGTAGAAGTGAGCCGCTTACCTCTCGCCCGCCTTTCGCCTAGCCTGAACTTGATAAAGACCAGCTTTAACCGACTCTCTGCTGGGCTTTCAGCTGCAGATCTCTGGGTTGATTCGCGGCCAAGAATTTACAACTGCGGGCAGCTCGCGCGGTGCCCGATGCCCCGTATTTGGGCATTCCCGCGGTCGTGAAATGCCCGACAGTTGGTCATCGAGTTGTGGGCCTGGGCTCGTTATTGCTCTCGGCCTCTATGATGGAAAAACAGTGTGAGTTCACACCATCTACTTACATAGTATCCTAAGTTGTATTCGAGACGTCTGCCCTCGAGGCTCTGAGTCTATGCTGATCAGAATCAAACTCTAGCTGGTTTCTTGACGTGGGCGCTTCAATCTTTCTGCTGATTGGTTGCCATTGGTCGTGGCGTTCCCGTGTTTGCAATCAACAACCAAGATGGCGTCGGCGGCGCTCAGCCTTGTCTGCAACCAGTGTGGTTCACAGCTGAAGAATATGAAGGAGGCCCAGTCTCATGCAGACGCCACAGGACATTCAGATTTTGCGGAAAGTACCGAAGCGGTCCTTCAGCTGGTGTGCAGGTGCGGTCTATTTCGGAAGATTTTCAGTTGCCTGTGTGTGTTTTGGATTGTTGTCCTTTGTTGCTTACACAAAGCCATCTTCGCGCCCAATGAGTAAGCTGTGGTGGTGGTTGATGATTGACATGAATTTTGGGGATCCACTTCATGTTCAGCTCCTGCTTGGTTGAGGTTTTTGCCTCATCCAAATTTGTATGGTAAGACTACCACCAGCAATTGTGGAAGTCTCAGCGTGCGTAAGTAGAGCGGGTTTTCGCTGTCAGACTGGGCCCTGGTGTGGCATGTTTATGCCTCTCTCTTTGAGAGCGCCTTTGTGTGTTATTTATTGGCGGCCAGACTCCTGAAAGCGATAGAGCGTTCTTCTCAAGCCAATTGTTTTCAAATCCTCAGACAAGCATGCGAGGTGATTAATACTCCAAACCTGGAGCAATTCCATCGCTAATCATCTAGCAACCTTATAGAGTTACATGGTCACTCATATTGCCCGCGGTCAAAAGTTCGATGCTTCCCCCCATGCAGATGTGTGTTGTATGCAAGCAGCGAACTTTTTGAAGGGTAAGAGTGCTCCACTGAATATACCGCATCCAGCTCGTTTTCCAAGAACCCGAGTGACAGGTTACTTCAAGTGTTGTTGGTTCATGATGAAAAGGAGAGCACGACCCAAACCCAGTCGCAGAATTCTGCAGATCAACAATCTTGTTGATAAACTTGACAAAGGCCGTGCAATCGACCATGAAACTTTTCTAGTTCGATGACAAGTCTTCACATTTGTAAGAGAACCAAGAGGCGACATTGACCGCTGAAGATGGAAGAAATAATAACTCAATTGCACTTCATTTTGCAGTGATTGCGGGAAGCCGTGCCGGTCCAAGACTGAACAGGATCTGCACACACAGCGGACAGGCCACTCCCAGTTCCATGACAAGACCGCGGAGGCGGCAAAGCCGATGGATACTGAGAAGCAGATGCAGCAGATCAGGGAGGAGGAGAAGGCGGCGGAGATGCCGTCAACGTCAATGGAGATTGACGGGGCTGCAGCAGAAGGTTAGGATTACTGGCACGGACATTCTGACGTGCCACGTAGAAGGCCCCCAGAATCTTGTTGCGTCCAGAATCTGCTGGCTCCTCAGTTAAATGTGACTGTCATGTTGGCTGATTGCTAGTGTCAGGTTTCGCCCACTAATAGGACTTACAGATCATTTTATTTGATACAATGACTGTGGTCTTTCCTTCATTTCTGGATCATCGTCCTCGAAAAAGTCTTCGTCTCCCGAAGGCAACGGTCGGCAATCCTCAATTCTTGTGACATATAGTTCCCTGTTGCTCCTGCCAATTGTATTTGCGCTCTCCAAAGAAAAGAAAAATATACGGTCTGCTTTGATCACTGCATATTTCCTGGTTCTTGAGATGGGCACAGATGAAAAGTCCGCTTGAAAAGCTGCGTAAGTCTGCGTTGGTTCATCTGGTGCCCACTATCGAACTTGCTGTTGACGATATGTGCATAGGATGTTGATTCCGGCCACTGGCTTCGCAGCCGCTGTTTCATGATTGGACAAGAACCGTCTATCATACAGGACAACTTGAAGTGTTATGCAGAGCTCGTTCTCAGGGCCATTTTATAAACTGCTCCCTTCTCTCTGTCAGAGATGGTGGTACCCCAAGTCGACGCTGCTGCGCTTCAGGAGCTTCAGGACATGGGCTTTGGGATTGAACGGGCAACCCGGGCGCTGCACTTCTCAGGTAGGCCCCAGACATCTTGTCAAGCAGTCTTATCTACCCAGCGCAAGGTTTATTTCAAACTGAGCATAGCGAGCCTTGGGTTTTGTGGCAGCTATGGGCAGATCTATCTATTTCCACACGTGAGAGACACTCTGGGGTCAGCGTGTTAGGAGGCTTTGTGCGACCCTTTAGCCTTTTGTTGGGGCTGCGGGAATGGCCGCATATCCGAGTAGCTTCTGGGCCGTTTCATAGCGCGGCGGGGAATGGCCCCATATCAGAGCAGCTTTTGGGCCGATTCAGAACCAATCATGGTCTTGTTTGTGCGGCCTGGAAGCAGCGTGACGAGAGCGCCTTTGACAAGTTGTCCTGTGACATGCCTGCTGGTGACTACTTTCGAATCTTCTGTACGATCTGTGAAGAGCAGACTGTCACGATCAATCTGACGTTCAGGCAACTGACGATTTCTGTCTTTCTTATTTCTGTTGTCTCTTGTCGGGTCTTGTCGTCCCCCAGTAGGAGATTCTCTGAGCAGAGCCGCCAAGGAGTCGGGTCGTTCATCTACGGACGCTGCCTTCAGAAGCAAGACGATGTGTTTTGGTTCCCTCTAATCCACCCCTTTTTTCAACGCCCCGAAAGCTCCGTATTTGAACCCCCTGATAGTGAGTACCTTGAGGGCAAAGGACGCTGAGCTTGCTTTGCTCTCTCCTTGCGGCCAGGCGGTAGCGTCGAGAGCGCCATCAACTGGGTCGTGGAGCACGAAAACGATGCTAACATTGACGAGATGCCAAAAGTAAGCAAGCTCAATCTCAGCGCCCAGAACGCTTATTGCTGTCTGGGTGCTTATTTTCAGTCACAGCTGTGTCACTCCGTTGTGCTTCTGACTTGGAAAGCGGATCAGGTCGCTCTCGAAGAATAGGGCTGTAAATCTGCACAATTACTCCCAACTGCCTATCTCGCTGTCTCTTGGCGCTTCCACCTTCCAATCAAGGAACTCCCTCTACAATCTACTTCGTAAATAACGAGGGAACGACTCTTGCCTACGTCCTGTGTGCTGCGCTGTGCTGCGCTCTGCTTTATTGATTTACGAACTTTCGTCAAGTGTTTGACAATGTTTTGGATAACTCAGAGAGAATAATCGCTGCAGCCTTCAAGAATGGACTTTTCTCCTTTTCTGCAGATTCCCAAGTCTCAGGACAAGAAGCCGCTCTCAAAAGAAGAGGCCAAACGCAAGGCGGCAGAGCTGGCGTGAGTACTCCCTCGAACATTCCGATTGGCATTGCGTTTACGGCTCCTCTCACAAAAGTCTATTGAAAAGCTACATTTGAGAGTTGATCTTCTCTATCAAAAGCATTCCCGCATTGTTGCAACGCTGGAGGGGTTATTGAGACCAGGCAATAAAAGCACAGCAGGGAAGCCGCTGCAAAATTCCGGATGCTTGCTGACGTCATACTTTGTCGTGCAAGGCGAAACGGAAGCGCGCCAAAGAATAATCGCGCATCGTTGACAGCTTCGGGTCCCTTGAAATGGCTATCAGCCGATCGAAGCCCAGCACTGAAATTACTCTTGCAATCACGGCTGCTTGCTGACGTCACAGCTTGTCGTGCAGGGAGAAGGCGAAACGGAAGCGCGAGGAAGAGGAGCGTGCGCGCGAGCGTGAGCGGGAGAAGGAGCGGGTTCGAGCGGGGAAAGAGCTGCTGGAGGCCAAGCGGATCGAGGAGGCGCAGGAGAGGAAGAGGTAAGTAGCGGGGGTGGAAGACATGAGCACACCACTTTTCCTTATATTAAAGTAACACGGTTAAGATTCGAGCAATTTTTGAAATCTCGATTTTTGCTCGTTGGAGCGGATATGGGGAGGAAGAGCTGCTAAAGGCCAAGCGGAGTGAGGAGCCGCAGTAGCGGAAACGGTAAAGCAGCGAGTGAAAGACACGAGCACACTAGTTTTCCTGGTCTTACCTTCTTCTTGAGAGATACAGGTTTTGTTGAGTACGTCTCTCTTCCTGCTAGTTGGAGCGGATATGTGCGGGGGAAAAAGACCTCAGGCGGATCGAAGAGGGGCAGGAGAGGAAAGAGCTATACATGCAAGATATGGATGTTTTGGAGAAAGATTTGAGGAAGGAGAAGAAGGCGGGTCGGGCGGTCGAGTACCTCAATCGGATATGGCTAGTATGTTCTTGATATGTTTCTGTAGCACTGCGAAAGGTCCTAGGCTCGTCGGGCTTGACTATTAACAAACCATCGAAGCAGTTTCGTTTAAGTGTTGCGACTTTGCATCTGAAGCCGCAGAGGTTCGCGAAGTGATCTGTGAATTGTGTGAAGAGTTGGAGTGCGTACCAGGAAGCAAAGAGCTGGACGGTGAGGAAGAGTCCTCATGTTTGATCTGCATCAGAGTTTTGGTCGGTTCCTTTTGAGAGCAAAGCGGGCGGTGGGCAGGATTTGCTTACGGGATCAAGTGTTGTCGCTCTCATCTAAGACTGAAAAGAGCTGTAAGCATTTATGACAGAAGAAAACTTCAAGCAGAGAGTCGCGCGTCGAGCTTCGATCCGCGTCTGCCTGCAGGATCATCGAGTTGAAGCGTCAGGAGAAGTTGGAGGAGCAGCGCGCGAGGGAGAAGATCAAGGCGAGGCTCGAGGAAGATAAGGTGAGCCGCAGTCCCGGCTGACGTCCAAGCCCTGATGGTCGATTGGAATTTGCCAAAAGCAGAGCTCCTGGTATGGCTCTGTAAACTGCGGCAACACTATTTGATGACGTTGAAGAGAACCAAGAGTATTTGGACCATCTGGGAGGTTGCAGAGTGTTTGTCGTTCTGTCGTTTCTGCCTCTGCTCTGAGAACTCGTGTGCCAATCCCCGTACTAAGCACGGTTTGGATCTCAAGTCCCAGCGCGCTCATGTATCTTCGTGCTATTGCCTCTTTGAGCGTCTCTACTTTCTTGTCGAACCCACTCCTCTTGACGTGGTGTGAAGTTTCTGGTAAGATGATGTCATCCTGACGTCATCCTTTTTCTGCTTTGCAGGCGGAGCGGCGGCGGAAAATGGGTCTGCCCCCGAAGGATCCTGAGGAGGAAAAGAAGAAAGAGGAAGAGAAGAAAGAGGAAGTCAAGAAGGTGAGTTGAAAGTCTGAACGGGTTGGGGCTTTCGCTAAGAATATCTTGGCGATTCTGCTTACCATCATTGCCTTGGAATCTGCTTTGTTTGAAAGTGTCGGAGGTAGGCGACGGGGACTGCGCAAATCCCAAACATGGAGTGTCGGATTTGCCCAAATCCCAAACATGGAGTGTCGGGTTTTTATAACGGGTGGCCAGGTGACCTATCAGCAGAGTTCGTTCAGCTTCGCTGCATTGTCTTTTGTTTACCGAGATGCTGGAGGTTGCAGCTGAGGGGGTACCCTCACACTGAAAATAGCGAGTGCAACGCGTTTCCCCCTGCCTCTTGAAACCTTTTTTCTGCGCACATACTAACTACCTTTTCTTCCCCACTATCCAGACCTCCAATCGCTGCGCATTTGCTTTCTAATATCCTTCAACCTGGAGGCTGGACCTGTCATGCTTGTCTCCTTCGTACCAGTAAAAGCTCCCCGTCGAGCCCCCTATGCGTTTGCCGCATTTCTAGATGAAATTCCTTCAAACGATCCGTTAACGCTTTTCAGCCTTTCAGTCCCCCATCTCTATCCCCGCCCTCACGATCTCCTGGTCAGTCATCACACTGCGTCAGCTTTGGGAGCCCCACGAGAATTGCTGACCCGCCCAATTCCCTGCCGCTCTCTCCACAAACCGCCTCCTGTTCCTCTTCCGAGTCTCCCGTTTCTGTGTCCATGCTTCCAAAAGCAACCACGAGTCCTCTTAGCCCCCTTCAGAATCTTTCCACTAACTTCTCAAAGAGCCCTCCGTCCATCTTGACTCCCTAAATTTGTGAGAATCAACCCTGTATCGTTTCTCTGGCAGCCGTTCGTTCCGATGCGTCCGGCCTCAAAAGCGGAACAGATGCGGAACGTGCTTCGAACCATGAAGCAGCAGCACAAAGTAAGGGCTTTTGATCTGAAGGAGTCTCACCAACTTCCTCTTTACTTATGGGTGTAGTTTCAATCTGGAGGCCGGCATTCCCCCGATGCCTCACACTTTGTGCCTCGTTAATGCCACTCCCGTCGCCACATTCTTTGTGCTTCTCTGATGCCGTGCATTTGTACCTTCTGGTACCTGACAATTCTCTCTGTTTCCAACTCCTGGTTGCTTTAAGTTTTGTTGCCTTCCTAGGCAGCTTCTTGTTGAAGCCTCCTCTTGCTCTCGCTGACACCAGAGGCTCATGTTTTCTGTGGAAGATTATCCTGTTTCCTTGCTGCAAAACTGTTCACCGATCTATGCTGACAAAGGGTTTCGATCTTGAAACGACCAGGACCAGGACGAACGGGTGAAGAAAGCGTTCCAAACACTGCTGACGTACATTGGGAACGTGGCGCGGGCGCCCGACGAGGAAAAGTACCGGACTATTCGGCTCACTAACGCAGCTTTCCAGGTACGTTTCGATTGCTATACAACGCTTTCGTAGTATGTTTGAGACACGAAGCTAGGGCGTCGCAGCGGCAACAAGAGTAAGGCGGTCGTTGTTCGTTGCTCTTCGTACACTTGAAGGAAAGGGCGTCTGGGCGCTGATGAGCAGTATCTGAGGTCAAGTCGGTGAAGGCACCGGATTGAGGAGCTTGACAGAGATTCTCCGGTGAAGGACTCTGGAGATCGGATGGAGGCTTGACGCGGAAGGAGACAGTTCCACCGACGAGTTGGGAGAATGGGTTTGGGAGACGCTTTTATATAAAAGAGATCAGCAAAACCTTCAATTGCATCATCCAAAAGTTTAAACTGAATCTCCCTCACCTAAGCCTTGCGCAATGTTGCTGGATTTTGAGCAGGCCTTCGCTTTTTGCCCGTAGTCCTCTGACATGGAGGAATCGAAATCGAAAAATCACCAGCTCCGCTTCGGGTTGAGGAGATCAGAAGGCCCTTTACGTCTGCCGCCCACAATTGACTTCGCCATGTTTCGCCTTGCTCCTTTTACTCTCGACTGTTTAGTCTGCCGAGATAACCTCTTCACTATCCAGCCGCAATAGTCGCCGAGTTGCCGCAATCCTCGATGTCAAAGCAGCCTTGCTCATTGGTTCACGGTGCAGGATCGCGTGGGTTCGCTCGGGGGCGTTCCTTTTCTCGAGCTCCTTGGCTTTGAAAAAGACGCTGCTGGCGAGACGATCAAGCTCGATCGGAGTAAAGTAGACCAGACGCTACTAAACGCAGCCGGGAGTGAACTGAATACTGCTATTACCAATCCTTTCTTCGGAGTACTCTAGTAATCAGAACGTTTTTAGGAACTTGATATTGGAATGTGAAGGAAGCGAACTCGCACACACGCCAGTATATATCAGGGATCGACACGATCCCTGTCATACACGTCCTTTTCATTTGAGTTACCGTTTGTTGCTTTCGATCTGGGATTGCCTATCTTGATTGGGTGATGTATAGCAAAAGCAAACCTCCATACATGTTATTTGATGCACTTGCCACATTCAATACTCTGATCCCATGCGCGTCAGCGACGTGGCAGGTCTCATGACCACTGAAGAAACGTACTGTTCAGTGAAATTTGATTCGTACCGTTCTCTCATGCAACCGTTGTTCCTTTATGTTGCCGCCGGCCATTGAATATTCAAAAAGGTCCGCGTCGGCGGGGCGAGCCGCCCGTTCTCACTTCCGAGGGCTCGCTTCCGACAAGCTACGGTATATTGCTGTTTCACGGTTAAGCGTGCGCACTGACGCAGCGCGCAGTCGATCCCGATCCAAACGTCGCGAGGCCGTTCGGGAACATGGCACGTCGCTGGCGCAAGCTGGCATCAACGCGAAACAACATTGCACCCGCGCGATTGCATTCCGGCCGGCCTGCGAACCGGGATACAGATTGAAAGTGTGCATGAGGTTGTACGGTAGGTGATTCCCATTTTAGGGCGCCGACCAACGGGACTGAGCAGGTCTGCGAATTCAATGCCAGCGCTTGCTTGCACGCATCCGACATCGAAATGGAAGACGGTTGCTCTTCCATTAAGTTAGTAATCTGAGTAAGCCTACAGGTCGACATTGAGGCCTCTACGTAGGGCGGCGGACCTGGCACGTTATAATCTATGTTTCCACAATCCTCGGAATGCCAACACCCCGCGCACAGCTTAACATCGACCGAATCTACAGTGATGGATCCATACTGGCTTGATCGAGACCGCATGACCAGTACAAAGCTTGCTTGTGATCCTGCTTAGCACACGGAGGCTCAATGGGTTTGGTTGTCGACCATCTTGCAACGATGCGACCAGAAATTGTTCGCCTCTTTTGCCCTGCATCGACATGGCATGACGGCACGAAAATAGGATGACGCGGAAACAAGCTCCCAAGTGCTTGCCACTTGAGGTCGACAACTGACTTGCAAGAGTCATGCTAGGTCCGTCGGTTAGAGCTCATGACGTCGGAGCACTGCAAGAATCGTTTACTATCAAATATTCTGCCACCCCCTCCCTCAAATTGGATGCCTCACGAGCCATGACCCGTTCAACTGATGGTGCCCCGATGGTGCAAAAAGCCAGCAAGGCCAATCCGGTACCGCGGGATTACTGAACTCGATTGCATGGGTACGTGACACTGATGAAAAGGGCGGGGTCTTTGTTTAGCAACGGATCCCATGTTTCCAGTCGAGTCGGGGCTGTGAAGCGACTGCCGGAGCGCCGCTCGAAGAAAAACGCCCGCGGCCCGTGATAACATGGGGATACCAGCACGTCTAAATTTGAGTCCTTTGAACCAGTAGATCGACTTAGACTCTTGCCCGCAGACAGCTTGTAGAATGCTTCATCACTTGAAGGCATTTCGGAACCCCCGGAGAGAAACGGCAAAGTTTTGTGGCTGAAGTGTACTTCAGGCGTGCGCGGCCTGATTGTGGGCATTGTAATCGGATTCCTCGGACTAATGGTGCCTGCGTTGTGGAGTGCCTTCACTGATTATTACTTTGTGTATCGCGGAACTTTCTCAACCCGTTGCACAAAGTTGCACATTCAGATTCCGAGCCAAGTACAGGTACCAAAGATGTAGACGTGTTCAGGTTGCTGGATACTGATTGTGGCGAAAGACACGCAACGTCAAACAAGAAATCAAATTGACCACGAAAGGGCTGGGGGACGACCAGGAGTCGCAGCGCTGCCGTTCAGATTTTGACGTCAAAAAATGGACGCTCGAGATTTTTTTTGGGCATTTGGTTAGGCACGGTTTGTCTAAACCTCGGTATCCAGATCGGTCCTGCCGAAGCCGCGACCCCTGGCTAAACCTTGCAGACTGGAGTCTCATATTGCATCGAGCAATTTCGACCATCGCGAAGTTCTGCGGTCCGCCTTGAGTGGGAGCTGCTAGAATCATCTTTGCACACGCGGTGTGCTGTGGGTGTTGTCGTTCAGAAAGCATCAACAAAGCGCTTCACGCTTCAATCTGTCAATTGTGGCTACGGTCTAAAGATAGGCTCTTGGAATCAAACATCAAGCATTCCTTCCATCGTATCAAAAAGGGGTTGCGCCAGTGCAGGCGGACCGCTGAAAAGATCATAAAGGCCAAGTCCTGAAAGCTCACTAGTTACACTATTGGAAATAAATAAATGACCATGATAGTTGGCCGATCCGCTGGCAGTGTTTCTAGACATCGGCGTTGACTTGACCTGAATGATTCGATCTGACTTCGACGTTGACGTAATCTGCGGTCCTTTCGTTGTCGAGAATTTCAACAACGAACAAATCCTATCATAACTTCGAACCCGCTGAATGTCGGTGGAAGCGGCTGTTAAACGAGTCGGTGCGTTTTCTTGCGAATCAGTCCGTCAACCAGTTCAATCCGTTGCGGCGCAGCACGCTGCACAAATACGCAGGGAACTACGTGCAATTTCCTTCCGCCTTTCTTCCGTAGTATCGCTGTAGGACTCCTCTCTATGGCTGAGAAAGCTCATTCAAGTGAGAGCGCTGCTGTGGAAGAAGACGGGCGTTCTACTTTCCGACTGACTTCTTTCTACTTCCTTAATAGGAAACGAAGCCATTCCCGGAAGGAATCGTGGACAGAACTCACTTTCATCTGGAATTTAACAGTCCTTGGAGTAGTAATCCAGGGCCCGGGCCGGAATACGTCCTCTTGTCGTCGACGATCGAAGCGTCAACCCCTTTCTAAACCATCGAATCGGTGCGGTGGTTAGGACAGGTGCATCGCTTTTGACCCTTTCTCAAACCAAGGCACCGGGGGATGTTTTAATTTGACGTAGTTCTCTGTTTGAGCAAATCATCTTCGATGCGTCAGAACGTGTAGAAAAGCTCCAGAGCTTTCTTTGCATAGAGCTGCACGCCCGTTCTTACTGAGGTCGTTTTGAACAGCGATTACCACTTTAGGCTGGCACTAGCAAATCAACCAGGTCTTACTTTACCGGGGTCCGGCAATGTCCTTCGAAGGATTAAATCTATATTTCTCCCTTTGTGCTCTATAAGAATCTACTCCAGCTACTCAGCACTGAAGCAGCACGTACGCAGAGGATGCGCGTTTCCCGCTAAGCCTACTGCGGTATTGATATTTCAAAAGCACCTCGGTAACCTCTTCCAGATTCCAAAGCCTTCCATTTTGGTTTTCCTCGAAGTCAATAGAGTGGTACTCCACTGGAACGAAAGAAAGCTTTTGATGGACCGCTCTACTAGGATATGAGTGGGTACGTCTACATGAAGACAAAAGGTTCTCGAGACGCCTAGTCAGTTCGCGTTTTTGCGGTTCTGCTGTCCACAGCAGCGCGGTAGCAAGCAACGGACTGCAGCTGCCACTAGTGATGTCGTGCTGGTTAGCAGTAGAGCAGTAGCAACTGAGAAGCTGAGACTTGTCGAGAGCCGGTCATACCGGTTGGTGCCGCTTTTAGCCCGCTTACCAACCTACCGGTATGTAGCATGTACAGAATTGCCCTCGTATTGCCAGGATACGCACTGATATCGGTATCCGAGTACCGGTATAGGTACCTAGGTACGATACCGGTACTTGATTTCCTGTGAGCACTAATGGGAGTCGACAATCACGCGACAGATTTTCAAAGCCAGGCCACCGTTACACCCTACGACAACGCGGGCAAGCAGCTACCTGTACCTCCCACATATCTTTAGCAAGGTTTAGGGTTCTACCTATCTACCGGCAGATTCCTCCGTAACATGGGTTAGGATTCAGGACGCTTACTGTACATGCTAGGTAGTACCGTCCGTCTTTTAAGGAGCAGAGCCCGAGCAGAGAAGACCAGTTCCACTGACTTCCGCTCTCAAGGACCTTGAAAGTTGAACCTAAACGGCTATTGATCCCATGCACACCCGGTTGAGCTGTCACCCGCTTCACCCACCTGGTCCTAATTAAAAGGCAAGGCATCTCGAGTTTTGGAGGAAAAGCCGCAGACGTCGTATCCGACATTCTGGACGAAGTGTTCACTATTTATAAGGCAGGGGTGCGGAGCGCGTGATGTTTAGGCTAGGGTTTTCAGTACGTGTGCCCGGGGCTTCTGAATCTTTAATAGTGCTAAGTGAACACTTCCCTTGCCATACCTAATACGTATCCGGCCTGTCCGGCCCGGGCCCGACCCTCAGGAGTCAGGTACCAACCTCCACTTGACCTGAGTGGAGTACCATTCGAGTTTCGAGGCCCCGGTTGAAATGAATCGTCAATAATGTGGCCCATAAGACATGCATGCATTTACTGCTCATTCTATAATTGTAATCTGTGACCCGTGAGATTCTAACAATTAGGTATCACGGGCGCCGCGGCGGCATTGCTACCGTAGGTACCTATTTGTGAACATTTTTGCGGTACGTACCCATAGAGTACCGCTCAATCCCAATGATTTCGCATGTACTGGACAAATTTCGAATACTGGTAGCAATAATCAAAGCGTTTAATGCACGTGCAAGTCGGCAAATTACGTCACTGCGTCAGACTGACAAATCGGATTCGTAAGCGGCAAACCTGTAGGGCAGTGTGCAGTGTGAACACCTTGCCACTTGGTCTACTGTACCGGTACGGCGGTACTACCTACCTACAGTACTGGTACTACCTAGGTACCTACAGTGTACAATGTTAGCCGTTGCTCTGGGCTCCCTCGGAGTCCCCTTTCAAGTTCCAATTGAAGACCGGGGATCGTGCGGTGGACTTCCCGGGAATCTTGCTAGGAGGAAATCTTGCCCTTGATCTAGGTATCGGCTTGGCCCGGCCCACATTTCCCGGTCGTTCAGATCGTATTATAAGAGCACCGCCAGTACAGCCGCAGAGCCAGATTGCAGTCTGGACTTGGGACTCTGGAGTCTGAAGTTCTGAAGTTTGAACTCTTCGAAGAGCACTGCCCTGAGCTGGTTAAAGTCTTCTGTCCAGTGCATCGGACCCGCCTTCCACACTGGGACTTGCAAATTCCCTATCCAGGCTTATACTTGGGAAGAAGTGCAAGACAAACATGGACTAGCACAAGGGCACGGCTCAATTGAAATTGCAAAGGACGGATGGCGTAAACAAAAAGTGGCGGGTCCTTTCTTCTTGTACTATTTTCACTCAGTCTATATAAGCACTGAGAAATTGGATCAACAGACCATATAATGGGACAATAAAATGAGCTAATCTGCTGCTTGTTTTCCACTTCTCGCAACTGAGGGCTTTATAGCAAAGATTATGTTTTTACACTTCAACTGGAGATGGGCTCGACAGTCGGTCCATGATCTCTTGCACCACCTGCCTCACGTTGCAAGCTACAGCAACTTCGACAGAAGGCCTGCTGCACCATTGCGTCGCGGCTGCCCATCTGGCAAAACAAAACGCGCGTGCAGATGTAAGAAGCCAATTTTAATTTTGATCGTCAACAAACTGGCACATCATGGTTCACCAACAGATCACTACCTCTCCTACGACCAGAATTTTAAGTAGCACGAAGGCTCCTCGCATAAAAGCAAGACCGAAGGAGCGCATGCGACTTGACGCGTCTAAGATTCCAGAACTTTCAATAGACGTCTAAACTGATAAATATACGCCCCCACCGACTTGCTCGTAGGCAGGCAGAGTTGCTTCCTCAAACTGAGTTTGCAATCAGCACTTAAGAGCGCTGCCCATTCTTACTTCCCACGTCAAAGGGGTTCCCTTACTCAGTCAAATTCTTCCAATGAGCTTCTGCCCGATCGTCGACAGACGGTTCTGATGATCAGGTATGCATAGAAAGCGAATATGGGTGCTGTTCATGACCGAAGGCCAACAGCGTCCGTTTCCATCGGGGTTTAGGATGCGCCCTGATCCGAAGAAAAATCGCTTCAAAATTACTTCAGAACCATGCTTCATATCCGCTTGGTTGCAGATGTCCGTGTCTGACACTCACAGATAACTTACTAAACTGCTGAAAGACAGGAGGTGCAAGGAAGGGCTGAACAGAACAGTGACGAAACGAAAGAGGACAAACATGACTCACTTTTTGTTGCCGAAGTAGGCGAGCGTCAAGGCGCGGAAGGGGCCCTCTTCCACTTCGACGCGAACAGGGCCTTCCCGAAATGTAAATAACGACGGCTGGATAACCGCCATCATAACGGACGGGTCATGTAGCATGATAACTGCAAACAAAATCGTAGGTCTTGAGAATGTACAAACTCGCATGTAAGAATCATCGCAAACCGGTGTCCACGAAACGTCGCAAAGGTCGGATACCTCGGGACCTGCCTCAGGATAATTTCTTGTTAAGCAGCCAGGACAAATGTCAATTCGCGCGGGCCCAGACGTTCTAAACCGTAAAAACATAGTGCTAAGAACCCACGACAATCGCCAACGTGCCTGTTACCAGACATCCTGGAGCCTTACATGACACTGGAACAAATTGTCTCTCAGCGGGATAATAATGCGTACATCAGAGCTTGTAGCGACCTGGTCACAGCGACGCAAATAATCACTACCAAGATGTAAGCAGGAGCAACGGACTCGTAGTCCAGCTTCGTGGCAGCAGCCTCCTTCAAGACAAACCGCAAATAAGAGAGACAATCATAGCGGTACGTTACCCTTTACCCACAATCGACTTACCGTTTTGTTGGTAGGCTTCGACGTGGTACTTGAGGTAAAAGAGGGACGCGTTGTGTAAGTACTTCCCAAAGGGGCCGTCAGAGTCGCGCAACCGTTGAAGCTGGACCTCTGCAATCACGGATGTTGTGCTTCAGGATAAAGCACATGGGTAAAGCGGGAACGATACATGTTTTAAATAGTAAAAAAGAACACAGGCATGAAAACAGGATTTAATTTTTAAGATTAAAGCTATTTATTTAAAACATAAAGTTATTTTTAATTAAGGTAAAATTAAGCCTTACCCTCAAATTTGGTAACGTTTAAGATTTCCACATGACGCTGATTGTCGTTTACGGGGGGAAATGATAGCACCAATGCTCGATCCAGATAAGCAGTCGCTTCGCACAACTTCCATCCTCCTCATGTCTCTAGAGGTCGGATGAGGCGAAGCTGGGTCTCTGAGAATGAGGTGGCCTTATTCCCGTCGTCGACAAGAATTCCGCCTGGTTTCTTGTGGGGAGGGGTAGCCTCAGATGATCAAGCGGGATCCTAACGACCGAGTCGGGTCACAAGTCTCAAAACACGCTGGATAAAAGTGGTAATGGAAGTCGGACAGCAGCCTAGGCGCTCTAAATTCCAAACTTGGCGTTGGGTCCTGTTGAAAACATCCGCTGATTCTGTTCAGTCACGCAGTAAGACTCTCTAGTCCAACCCTCTCTGTTTCTCCGCTCTGAGACTCCGAGCAGACACTGCACCCTTTGCCGTTACACCTCCAGTCACAAGGCTTTCGTAGTCTAAACCTTGCACTGGTTGTCAGCCCACTCAATGACATGTTCCGTCCGAGCAGTAACATAACTTTCGAACCCTCTGACGTTTTGTGTGTAGTCACGAGGCTTCTGTCGGTATTGAAACCATTTAAACTCTCTGCTTACCCACCTGTCATTAGTATGTTTCGTGTCACGTCCAGACCGATGACCTTAATGGGCGCGCCACAGCCGAAAACAAGGTCGGCCGCCTCCGGATCGCCCAGAATCTGTCACCAAAACACGGAAGAAGTTAGTTCACCGCCATCTCCGTTTGTCTTAGTGGCTCGTGGTAGAGTTCCGTCTTCTTTGACTGCGTTCTCCTTAGTGTCTCCGTAGAGACGTATTACAGCAACTGCTGACCCGACCAATTTCTTAGCAGTGCTTCAAAACAATGAAGGGCCAACATATCTGACGAAAGAACAATTAGTACGACCACGATCGGCCCTAATAATGTCGACCGGAGAAAAGGCTGCAAAGCAAGACCTCCAGAGTGCAACACACAAAAGCCTCGGTTCCCTGAACCGAGGGTGACAAGCACAAAGAAAACCTTGTTGAAAGATCGACCCAAAGACTCACGTTCGCTTCCGCCGCCGGATTTACATTCCCGTTCGAGAGGAAGGCCCCTCCCAATATGACAATCTCCCCAACGTTGGATGCAAAATTAGGGTCAAGCAGAACCGCCTGCGCTAGGTTGGTTAACGGCCCCAGGGCGACTATGGTTATCTCCCGAGGGTTTTTCTTGACCACGTCAACTAGGTACTGAGCGGCCGAGCCCGTTAGGGCCTTTCCAACGGGGGGTCGGGGCCACGTGTTTCCCAACCCGTCTTCTCCGTGGACAAAACTCGCAATGCGCTCTTTGGCTACTCCCTGTGGAGTGGGAAGAAAAAGTCAATCACCGCATCAGGAATGTCAAAAGATGCCGGGCAGCTACATGCTTGTGGCAGAGAGCATAGCCAAGGGCAGGGGCAGTTCTAAACCCAATCTCGTCAATGGAGTTGGGGCCGTTACATGGAGAGCTAGAGCAGGAGGAAGCGATTTAGAAATGTGGTCAGAGTGAAAACGACTCAGGTTCAAGTCGTACTGTAAGGCCGGTTGGAAGGGTCAGTTGTCTTGCTTCGTGGCAGTGAACATGTTTTTGGTCCGCTACGCGCAAAGTGTTCAATAGAACCATGACGATTCCGGACCACAAGCGGGTAACAAGGGATCGTAACCATCTTCGATCCATCTTAACGAATGTTTGAATCTTTGATGCTTTCGAAGCTTCGCAGCACAAACTTGCTTCTTCTGTACTTCGCATGCAAGTTCGAGTGTCTATATTTGGAGTCTGATGACCACAGAAAACGAATCCAAATGTCAATGCCAGTGAACCTGTTTTTAAGTCTGCGGAACCTTCTCTGCTTTGAAAAAGTGAATGTTGGCGTACCTTCAAAGACTTGACCTCCCCTTGAATGACAGGGATGTCAGGGCGACCGGCCAACTCTAGCTGCACAAACCATGCATTCCGTATAAGACAAGTTCGAAATAGAAAGACAACATGATGTTCGCACAAGGAATCATCTACGACTCTCTGAAAGGAAAAAAGCGAGGGACTGAGCTTGTTCAATGTTCCCTCTTAGACAGGATCACGTCCGGGAGGACAGAACAGCGCGACACAATCCTCCAGATTCTCCCAAGGAAAGGAAGATCGGGGTAAGGAAGAGGTAGGTGAGATCCGAAGTAGTCACTACGTCAAGTCGTTAGTGGGGGACTGGCAGACTTCGTGCAACATTCTAGGCCCCGGAAAGCATCTACCACTCCAGGCAAAGCTTTTGCAGTGAAGGAAGCCCTTACCAGGTGCAGAGCATTAGAAGTAGCCAGCGGCGTCCGTACGTTCCCAAATATTGTCGTGAGGGCAAGCAATTCCAACTCCGATGACTGCAGCGCCAATAGAATGGCATACGCGTCATCTATGCCTGGGTCAGTATCAATAACAATCTTCTTTGCATGCGGCCTCCCCCCCCCTCGCCCCAACACAAGCGGACTCTCCCCAATAGAAACATCCGACCCAGCCGGCTGATCCGGCGGTGTGGACGGCTCCTCAGCCGCCACCTGGCGCTTGTCGGTTGGACCCGAAACCCTTTGCCTCTTTGCCTCCCCCCCTTGCTGTTCCAAAACCCGTTTGGGATCGCCCTCTCCTGCTAACAGATGCTGGTCCGCGCTCGCGATTGCTGTGACAACAGCGGCAGCGACCGACGTCCCGGGCCCCCCTAGCCGGGACTTCTGAGCGAAAGAAAAGGGCTGTGCTGCAGCGGGGGGGTCCCGAGAGGGGCTTTCTGCATGCTGGTCGGAGGGGAGGAAAACATCTTGGGAGGGGCCGTCCACCGAGGGGGTACTCGACTTTGAGACACTGTCTATTCCGTGCTCGACGGCCTGGATGGAGGAACCTGGGCCGTCGGATGGCTTGCCTTTCAAGCGGTCCATTGCTCCCACTGACGCCTTGAAAGGCGATCCTGCGACAGGACAAACGACGTGTTCAAGTCCGAGCTGTGTTGAAGGAATGAAGTGCCCTGCTGTTTAGAGGATGAAGCTGAGGGGAGGCATTTGCTCAAAGTTTGCCTTGGGGATAAGCAACGTCTGAAAGGATTTCTAGATACATTGGTGCACCAGAAACATGGTCATTGGATCAAAAAAGAAAAACATTCTAGCTCACTGATTGTCTTTCAGCAATTTGGGTATATGGAACCGTCAAAAATCCTAGCGTAACAACGGGAGATCTACAAACCCTCTCATGCCAAACCCTAAGGAGAGGGACCAAGTCAGATTTGGGAAGGCAATGAACGAGAGCTGAGGTCAGACACTTCTGCAATGAAGCTTCTCAAAGTACTGACGGTCTCTCAAGCATTATGCTGTGTCCTGCATTTGAAACCTCGTTCCTGACAGAGTGTGTGGGAAGAACGGGCACATTAGAAGGGCAGAATTGTCTAATGCAACTCTATTTTGGTGTGCAGCTATAACAGCAAGAGTTTGGCAAGAGCCTGCTGGACGACCAGGCGAAAGAAGGATCGAGCACAACAAATGTATGCCGATGGAATCACAGGATCAGAGCTTCATTAACCAATCGCTTTCAATCATGAGCCTAAAAGTGAACTGATCTGACCAGGTGTTCTCCTGCGACTCAGAATCCGGCAAGTTACGTGTTTCTCATTGAATATTCTGGGGACATGTGCAACCAGAGGCGCTCTCAAATTTTGCAGCTTATCGATGGAAGAATAAAGCTCACCTCAATGCAGATTCTAGTGGATTGCAGGATTGAGATTCTCCTCCTGCATGAAACAAACTTCAACGAGGTGACAGCACCGTTCTGAAGGAGGGAGATTGGGACTTGTGCCAATTGTTGTGGCAGATCTGCTAATATGAGAGGATGAGAGAACCTGAGTACTACCTTTCTTACTATTACTAGTATTAGTATCTGCCACTAATGCTTCAATTTCAAATGCCAATTTGGCGTCTTCTCTTGCCATTGGCATTGCCATTGGCAGACAAATTCAACCGACTCTGAGGTCCTTGTTCTAAAACTGCCGTGTCGAAGTGGGGCAGTTGGTCGGTAGTCGGTACCGGGAAAGAAGAAGGGCATGAAGTACGGAACTCTATTCCCGGGAGCTGCTCACCCGGGACGATAACTTGGATAGACATGACCACATTTCTTCAGAACTGATCGAGCAGCTCAGTTGAATGGACGTAGGTATGTAACTTCACTAGTTTCAACTGCGACGTCATCATAGTTAAGGACGTGCCCAACCTAAAACCCTAAGGTCAAACTGAGAGCAGTAACCGGGTTTTGACGATACCCTAAGGCGTTCCGCCATAGCCCGCCCGTACCCACCCTAACCCCCCAACTAACCCCACCAAGATCAGTCGGTTGCCCTCTAGTAACCTTAACATCCCCCGAGCACTCCGACTCCCTGCAATCGAGTGCCCGGTTGAACACTGCACGGTACCGACCAATGTCGACTCGGTAGCGTACCGCCGCACTGTTCACCGTAGGTACCGATGATGTCATGCCTACGTTGCAGTTGAAACTAGTGAAATAATACATACTCTACTGGTTGAATTGGCAAAAGCCTGAAGCTGAGCTGTGAGTCCCATTTCTGTGCGATTCTCAAGCGATGAGTTTTCAAATGCCCCATTCTACCAGTGCATGCCATTGCCTGTTCATTGTAGTTTGTATCAAGGGCGCTAGGGAATGGCTTCTTTGATGTAAGGATTGGGGGTAGATGATGGGAAGGATTTGTAAAGTCAGCGGGCAAGGCTGTCTGTGCACTTTCCAAAGTACTCTCAAAGACTTGATGAACACTCCCGCATGAATTGATGGCGACTAGTAGCCGCACTTGAAAGCTGTTTTCTGGCACTCTGATGGATGCAACAAGCATCCACTTAGAGGGTTCATTTGGAAGCAGACGGAAGGCTGCATTGTACTGTAATGGCAGATTGGCAGACAGTTGTTTTCATGCGGATCAAGCAGATTGCAGAGGCTTCAGTGTGAACTGCGCAACTTGGCACGCAAGTTCAGCGCTGTTTCAATCAGTCAGCAACCACCTTTGAAGCAGCTTAATAGACGTTGTAATATAAGTTCAGAGGCTTGTGTTTCTAGAAACAAAATGAGTTTAATATCAGGAAGGTTTGTGCTCGCTTGGGTGCTCACAGCGGTGAGCACTCTGTTGTTGCTTCTGTCATACCATGGGTTGCGAGACGCTGTTTCTGCGAAGCTGTGGGAGACAAGCCCTGCAAATGCTGCCCAGCCAAACCTCGCCGTTCAATCTGGAGACGATCACTTTGGGCCACTCGATACGGCTCAGCAGGTGGAGAAAAAGGACAAGGCCCTTCCGACGAGTCCCAAACTAGAGAGTGAGCTTGTAACAAGAGAGGGGAACGCTTTTCTGGAGCATCAGACGAGCGCCGTTCGGAAGCTCCAGGCGGCCAAAGTAGAAAGGACCCTTCAGACAGTGTCTGAAAGTAGTGCAACTAGAGGGGGAGCCAAACCCTCAGGCACCGGGGGAAGCGCTTGGTGGAAGTATGTGGAGCAACTAGGGGGGTGGCAAAACTACATCGACCTGGTCGTCGCGACCACCCCCCGCATTCACTACCAGGGGAGTAAACCCCACTACCCCCGGGCGTCAACCACTCCCAGTGCGCGTGAGTTAGAAAGCCGGTTAGCGCTGAGTTTAACAAAAAAGGGGAGTGCGTCTGGGGTAGCAACCCCCGTCGAGGACGTCAAATTCGAGAAGGGGAGCGGGGAGTTTTCATGGTTCTTTTGGGCGCCCAAACCGGCTGCGGTTAACTATAACCGCATCATTGAGGACGAGCTTCAGGAGATGGTCAATGCGCGGCTGCACAAGCGGGGCTTCCCGCACGGTGTGAATAAGCCCTCTCGCGGGGTGAACACCCCCGAGGAGCACCCCGCTGCCGTTCGGGAGCGGCTGCTTCAAAACCCCGCTTCTTTAACTGCGGATAGCGGACCGGCAACTCAAGGAGAGGAGTCTGGAGATGGAGAAGTCTTAGTCGATGTTGGAGAAGGGCTAATGGCCGACGTTGGATTCCACGCCAAGAACGTAACTTTGGAACCTGGGTTGGTTGGAGTTTTCATGAGCGGGTGCGGAGAGACGTGCGGACAGCACGGGACATGTAATGAAGAAATGGGGCGGTGCGATTGCCCGTGGGACCATACGGGACGAGACTGCGCCGTCCTGGCCATGCCGGCGTGCCGCATTGGCCAGAATGTGAGCTACCCATGCGCATGCGAAGGCTTGAGCTCTTGATGTCACTCGAAACGCGTCTCTACAATGCTTGATGTTGAGGCTTGGAGTTATGAGGCCCTGCTCAAACTTGTTGCATCTCTTCTCTGTCTTTACGTCTAGTCTCACAGTCCTGTGAGGATCCATAAGGCTCTACTCAGACTTGTTGCATCTTTCTTCCGCTCGAAGTCTCATCTCCTTTTTTGCGTGGACCAGAGACATGTGAGCGCTTTTGACTGCAGAGCGAAATCCGGTTCGGAGGGCCCTTCCAACAAGTGTTTTGTGTACCAGACAGTGTTTTGTGTACCAGACAGTGTTTTGTGCTCAGACTCTGCACGTCTTGTAGAATGTGTTACTCTTTGGACTTTGATGCAATCAGATGTGACCTAACCCTCAAACCCGACACTGTTGCAGCGCACGATTCCGTGCAATCAGCCCGCCCCCTGCGCATGCTACCTTCAATGCGAGCGCTTTGGCTTTGGCCACAGCCATGCCTGCTTCGACGTCAACCCGCCGTACATAAGCGAGGGTGCCATATGGAGCGCCCCTCAGGTCAGAGCTTTGGCCACGGAGTCTGCCTTCCGTACCGCAAGACAGAAGAGAAGTAGAAACAGTATCTCTGAGTTAACGAGATGGAGAAAGGTATTGGTCGGACAGCAGGCTGACACCCGTCCGTCCTTCCTTCGTGAATACCTGCGATCTGCCGACTCGCAGGTCGATACGTCTTTTGCGATGCCTGGAAACATTTGTTCCGTTTGCAACTTCTCTCTAACGAATCACGAACGCATGAATCAGGTGTAAGGAAAGTGTTTCCGCCATCAAATTCATGTGCCACTCTCAAGCCAACTATGAATGCATGAAGCAGGTGTAAGGAAGAAATTTCAGCCGACTGAATTTATGTGCGGGCACATTTGAAGGGAGACCTGCCAGTCTGAACCTTTTCTGAAAGTTTGAAGCCACTTTCTCTCACCTCCTCTTACACCAGACAGCAAGCCAAAGGAAACATCGTCAACCAGAGTCATATCTTGCTGAGGAACCGCGAGTTCCAACATCCTGTTACGGGATTGTCGTGACACCAATTTTGCGTTGCTCTCAGGTCGTAATACGGACGGACGGACGCGGCCATGAAGAAGGGTCCGTTCGGACGTCCATCGACGAGTCGGACCCCAATTGGCGGAAAGTACTGCCGTCCCGCTTCTGCCCGTTGGGCTGCAGCGACGTCGGCTGGTGCGAGCGGGACAGCGAATTGGGCGTCGAGTAAGGACCCTAAGCTCTTCAACACTGCTTCTGCTTTTGCTGCTTGTCTAGCTTTTCACCCCTCCCAACTCCCTTGAGTCGACTTTGGTGTCTCTCCTCTGTGAAGCTTTTCTACCTGCTCATCCGCTTTCGAATCAACTACTCTCTATTTCTGGTCAAATTTAAGCTCTTTGTGCTTCTCTCATTTCCTTCTGGTCTTAGATGCTGTCCTCCCGACCAGCTTTTATCCTTTCGCTGTTCCATCTCGTTTCTTCCATCCTCAACGCCAGCCTTACGGTTCGTGCTCACGTAGACAAACGCCCCCTTCTCTTTCTTTCCACGATCGTAAACCCGTTGCCCCCAAGTCTCGCCCCCGCAGCAGCTGCTTGCGCTTTGCCACTGCACAGCTGTTGATTTGTTTCTCCTTTTCGTTCCCTCCCTTCCTTACCACGGGCCACAACAAAGCGCATCACGCTGACGCATGCACTCATCACCTGCGCAGCCCGCCGTCCGCGCACTGCAACTGCCCGTTCGGCTTCGCCGGCGCCGGCTGCGAGATCCCCGAGAAGCGGCGCGACATCCGCGTCTCTTGCCTCAACGACTGCTCGGGGCGCGGGGTTTGCAACCGGGGCTTCTGTCACTGCAAGCCGGGGGCCTTCGGCATCGACTGCTCGCTCTCTCCGGGCACCCCCAGTCTAGTTTTCACTCAGCCGGGGACGCTTCTCGCAACCGGTTCAGAGGGCCGGGATCGGATGCAGAAAGACGAGGAGTCGTGGATCTACACGTACGAGCAGTCACGGCGGCCGATCTTCATGGCGAGGAAGCGCGCGAAGGCCGAACTAGAGCAGGCGGGGTTCGCGGACCCGCTCTTTGTGCCGGAGCCGTCGCCGTCCGCGACACCGATGAAGAGCTACGGGCCAGGTGGCTGGCGGAAGCAGGTGCCACGTGGCATCCCTCAGGGCGTGCCAGGTGGCGGCGCGGACGTGGAGTACATTCCGTTCATTCAGCCGCAACTGATTGAGGCAAACCCCGCTGTTCTGCAGCAGGCGATTGATTCCGCTTTGGGGGGGGTGGAAACGGGGCAGGAAGCGACCCCCTCCACGAATCCCGCTCTCCTGCAGCAGGTGATTGATTCCGCTCTGGGGGGGGGGGAAGCGGGGCAGGAAGCGACCCCCTCGCCGCAGCAAGCGGCGGTTGCGGCGGTCGTACTAACCGGGCAGTCAGAAGAGCAGGTTACGGAACTAACCGGTAATCCCGCAATGGATGTGGGAGCGGCAGAGGGGGAAGGCGACAAAGAGGTTTTGGGGGGGGTCGTTGAGCAGGGCGAGGAGGGGGGGGCGCAGCGGAGGGAGGAGGTTGAAACGGCGGAAGAGGAAAACCAGGGGGGAACTAGGGGCGAGGGGGAAACGGGTGTGGATGACAGTGCAGGGCCGGAGGAAAAGGCGATCGAAGCTTTGGAGGAGGGTCTGCCTCTAGTGGAGCACTTTGAGGGAGTTGCCGGGGATGGAGGGGAGACGGGTGGTCTGGTCTTGGAAGAGGATCGAACGGGTGGGGGGGAAATGGGGCAAGAGATTTTGGGGGAAGAGCAAGACACTCTAGGCGGAGTGCAAGATACTCTGGGGGCGGAGGGCGAAGCAGACGGGGAGGTAAAAGAATGGGTTGGTCAGGAGGATCCGGGGAGAATCGGGGAAGCCGTTGACGAGCCAGCAGAGGAAACGCCTCAGTTGCGGAGATCGTCTCGGTTCCGAAAAGTTTTGGAGTGGGTGGAGTTCAGAGTGGGCGGTGAAGAGCACCGAGGGAAGATGCGAGGGGGCGGGGTGGGCAACCGGGCGCTTCTGCTCGTCCAGGCAGGGGTTGATGAAGTAGATCCGAATGAGTTCACCGAAGAAAAAACCCCGGACCAGTATCGGGGCGCGGAAATGGTTTCCAGAGGCGCCGCTCACGGAACCGCTGTTTCCCGGGGATTTAACCGGACCGCGAATCGGAACCCGTTCTTCAACCCGATGAGGACGCCTTCCCCGTCGGAAATGGACGAACTGTATCTAAACCAGACGGTGCAGAACCTGATTCGGCAGGAGGAGATGCGGTGGTTTGCGCTGAAGCGCGCGTATCCGAACAACACGTTTTACCAGAAGCCGCTGAGCCTGAACATTACGCAGCTTCGGCAGACCGCAGTAATCCAGCTGAGAAACGTGCGCCTGCAACTAGAGATGCAGCAGCGGATCCGCGAGGCGAAACTAGAGGAGGAGCGGCGGTTCGTCGCGTCACTCGCGCACATGCGCAACAAGACGCGCGGCAGGGGGGCGGCGCAGCCCCTGATCTACGTGTACGAGCTGCCCCCCCATTTGAATACGTGGACGTACGTCCATTCCGGGGCGGGCGCGGATCGGACGGCGCCGGTGATCTTTCTGGAGCGGCTTTTGCATTCCCCCCACCGAACGACGGACCCGAAACTCGCCGACTTTTTCTTTGTACCCGCTTGGCCGCGTTGGCACCTCAACCGGGGGCCGTACCTAGAGTCCGTCGTCCAATACCTGAGAGCCACGTGGCCGTACTTCGACGCTCGGGGAGGCGCCGACCACATCTGGTTCACGACCGACGACTGGGGTCCGTGCGAGGAAACCGGGTTTAGGAACCGGGTCATCGGCGCGGGGGTTCTGCTAACCTTCTGGGGTTACGACAAAAACGCCCGGAATGGGGGGGACGAGCCGTGCTTCATTCCCGGGCAGGATATCGTTGTCCCTCCGAATTTGGAGTACGACATTCTGGCGAAAAGGAAGGAGGCGGAGGAGCGGGGCCGGTTGAGAATCGGATTAAGGAACCGCACGAACTGGTTCTACTTTGCGGGGAGCTCCGGCCGGCTGGCAGAGAGCACAGGGACGGGGCGGAAGGAGTACAGCTTTGGGGTGCGCCAGGTGAGGGTTACGAATGTTAACCGTGAAATTGAATCTAACTCGTCTTCCGTCGTTAGGTCTTCTCACGTGGAAGTCAAGAAGAGCAGCAAGGTCCATTTGAGTTGCTTCAAATTTGAAACTGTTTGGGCTGAAGGACGATCGGTCCTGTTGTGGTACACCCAGCGATATAATACTGTCTGGGTTCTTATCTGCACATTCGTGAGCTTTGACTAGGTTGTCTGTCTCCTGAATCTGCTCGACTTGGGCGCAGGTTGTGTTGTCAGTGGTTTCCGATCCCGAGTCTGAGCTTGAGGAAAGCAGACTCTATCGAAAATGCTTTGTTCTGTTTGTGGCTGCTAGTCCCGTTATGCTAATTGAGGTGTGCAGCAACTCGCTGACTCAAAGATCGATTGGAAGCAGAGAAATTTTAACTTTAGAAAGCAAAGGCAGAATAGGGAAACGTGCATCCTGTGCTTTCAACCGCAGGGCTTAACCTGCCGTGCAGAGACTCTCCCCTTTGGCGCAAAGCAAACAAGTTGACGGTTACCATTACCGATCAATCGCAAAAGGCGGAGTACAGTGATTGGGCTTTGAGCCAAAAACTAAGCTCGTTTGCCTTCGACAACTAAATGCGCCGCACTGTCGCAGGCGGTTTTCGACCACTTCGAAGACGACAACCGGTTCAAGCTCGAGGAGCTGCGTTTCGGCGCGTCGGACTACCTGGCCGAGATGGCCAACTCCCTCTTCTGCCTCGCGCCCTCCGGCCACGGATGGGGCACCCGCGCCACGCAGGCGGTCATCCTCGGCTGCGTCCCTGTCGTCATTCAGGTGGGTGACGTCAGCAGGGAGGTTAGTACGGACGTCAGCAGTGGTCTTTTTAAAGGTCTGAGGTTTAGAATCTTGATATTGTAGAACACCGTCTGGCCATCTGGCTGGGGCACCCGCACCACGCAAGCGGTCATCCTCGGCTGCGTCCCCGTCGTCATCCAGGTGGGTGACGTCAGCAGCGACGTCAGCAGTCGTTCTCAAGGCTCTGGGGTTTACACGTCTGATCCCGTAAGCACCGCTCGGCCACGTGGCTGGGGCACCCGCCATGCAAGCGGTGAGCGGCCCCGGTGTCGTCCAAGTGAGTGACGTCAGCAGCGACGTCGATAGTGGTTTCTAGAGGGTCTGGTTTTGAATTGGTATTGCGCTTCGCAACGCACCACCTGGCCACATGGCTGGGGCATCCGCCCCATGCGAGCAGTCAATCTTGGCTGCTTCCCTGTCGTCAGCCTGGTTTGTGACGTCAGCAACTAGCTCACGTCAGCAAGAGTCTCGAGGTTATAGAATGGTTGTCCTTTCCTCGTCCATCACGGCTTGGGTACCAAGCGCTTATGCTGGCGGTGCCTCTTGCTTGCGTCCCCTCCGTCAACCATGCGCACAACAGGGTTTTGGATCCAAGGTCGTTCGGCGTTCAATTGTTTTGGAGTCCAAGTTTGCCTTGTGCCATTTGAGTTTCAATAGCTTTAGCCTGGTCAATCGCTCGTCTGCACGCAAGTCTGCTTCCACGTTCTTAACGTCGGTAACGACGTCAGCGCTTTCAGAGCCCAAGCTCCTCACGTATGGGTAAAAGAGTCTGGCGGCTGAGCTGTGAAATGCAGCATCTGGAATGACGTCATCGCCGTTGAATTCTGAGTCTCTTCTGGAAAGACGTACAACTTGCCAAAGGACAGCGTCGCAGAAGAAGTGGCAGACAGTGTAGCAGCAGGTGCGCGGAACTGGAGGTACCATATGACCGAGTGACGGGTCGAGGTGTGCTTCAATGATGGTTCGAAGAACCGGTCCCTTTAGTGGCGGCTTGATGGCCGGCGTTGGAGTCAATGTGTCGCTCTAGGCCTGGCTGGACAAGATGCTTTCAAAGGATAACGATGTGTCGCAAATTCTATTGTGCAGAACGATGTGACGCAACCGTTTGAGTACGATTTGATTGACTGGGAGACGTTCGGCGTCCGGATCCGGAACGAGGATGTGCCACGTATCCCCCAGATCCTGGGAGCGATACACGTGACCGAGATCGAGAAGAAGCAGAGGATTATGGGGCAGGTGCGTGATACGACTTCCCAAAATATTCGTTTTTGCTGCTGAGATGTGAAGCGCTCTTTCGCGTCCTTGATTTGTTTCGCTCACCGTGCTGGAAACAACATCTGTTCCCATCCTTTTTTTCCGTTGGGTTGAGGTGATTATCCGAGTGCCCCCTACCGGCTTGCGGATCTCCGTTTTACAGGGAATCTGCATCTAGCAAACAAATTTCCATGTGGAGCTTTAGGGGCTTTGAGGATTGCCTTACAGATCCTCAAAAGTCCTCGGTCAAAGTTGCCCCGGCAAAACGTTTTCATGGTTGAAATCCAGACTTGTCTTGAGTTCTCAAGCATAGGCATAGCGTCATGGTTCAGCGTCTTATGCGTCTGCAGGTGTGGCCGCGATTCTTGTGGCAGTCACATTCAGAGGGACCGCTAGAGGTGATTCAAGCAGGTGATTACAAGGATAGCTTGAAGGAGGTGTTGCAGCGTAGGGATGCCTTTTCTACGACGATGGAGGTATTGCAACAACGGCTTCAAATGGAAGACTAAGTTAAACGAGAAATTTTTAGAGGAAAAGGCTTCATGTAAACCATTTTAAGTATGTCGACATTCAAGTGCTCTTCAGCACGTTTCAATGGAGGTGACTCAATGGAGAAGTGTTTGCTCATGCATGATGCAACGCTTTGTTATAAGAGGTGTAGTGATTGCATCCGGCCCGACGCGGTATTTGAAGTGCATTCTTTTGCATATATGATTCTAATGGCTTTCAAACATGATCAGGAACCATAGATGGTATCATTACCTTGATGATGTGCGCTTGAGTTTATGCTAAATGTTATATTTTGTCTGTGAACGGTACAACTTAAAGAAGATTCTGAGTAATATGCACTTGATTGGTCACTGCATGTTAGTGTCGGTATATCCGACGACACAACGGCAAAGTCGTGGATCGAACTGATTTATCCTATAATTACTACAATTGCATGTCGGGTAAATGTCTTCATATTTCCGGAGAATTACAGGATGCATATGTCACAGTATGGATATGCATATATTTTCGATGTACTGACGATCGCGACTTACAAGAAGGATGAAAATCGTGCGTATACGGTACCTGGGGGGCTTCATGTTGCAGACAGACTCTTTAGAGAGCATGCAGTGATGCGAGCACATGGCCCTGTTAGTAAGAGAGACAGAGGCAGAGAAGAACTGACCCTGTGATCAGATAAATTATTACAACGTTTGAGCCGAGCTCAGATCTATCTAGTCTCTTTGTCGAATGATAACTTAAGTTTTTGTGTATGTCACTGCCCTTCAGCCAGCTGGATGGTTGCTGATTTACAAGGAAGGTTGTCAGGATGGGAAGCTGCTCCACTAGCTACACTAACGTAGCTTGCCTACCTAAAGTATTGCTAGCAACGTTAGCAAAATTCAGGATTTGTAAGGCAAATGTCGATCTCAGTTCCTATACCTCAAAGAATTTGAACACAAGTAATCAACTGTTTAGACTCGAGTTGGAGAATCTGTACTCGGAAGTGAAGTTTCTCGCTGATGGCTTAGCTTTGTCGCTAAGAACAGTGACGACTAGCTGTTTGCGCGCGCACAAAGCTCGGGCTATCACTCTTTACAGGCCGGCTATTGGTATTCGAGCAATAGTTGTTCCGGCGGGAGCCTCTTATTTGTTCGCGAGCGGCGCGCGCTGAAGTCCACTAGCTTGTGGTTCAATGTCCTGTCAGGATCTACACAAGGGCAATCCAAGGACTGGCAGAGCCTTATTGTTGAGCGTCAGTGAGAGAACTGACAGCGGTCTAGGGTCTTGAAATACCATCCTCTCTAGTCTAAAAGGCTGGCATCTCGACTTTTCTGTTGGCGTTAGTTGCCGGTCCGCAACGGACTACTCTGAAGTTTATTGGCTGCCGCCTGATGGGAAAACGGGCGACACCGCGGCGACCGACAACGACCTGCAGCGCCACCATGTGTGTTAGATCCAAGAATCTTATTGCAGGTTGGTGAAATGATGTCAACCAAGGAAATCACTTCCTGCGCAGGAGACTGCTGCCAAGAAAGTCGGTTGTCAACCAACGGAAGTGCTCCATTTTAGGGTCTCGGAAAGGATGCAAAAGACTTCCCAATCCTTTTCTAATGAACTCTATCACAACAGGGCACAAACATAACATCACACGACAAACTTTCAGGACATGCTGCAGGAAGTATATGGCAAGGGGATTCGCGCTCACCTTGTCTAGCTGGATACTTAGACGGGTTGGCAGAAGGGATTGGGGCCGTCGGTTCCCCCGCACTGGTAGAACGCACTCGGGCAGCAGACAGCGGGACCGCTACCACCCGCGGGGTAGCACTGCAAACAGAAGACCGCCCATTCTTAACAATCCAGTAGCATTACAATCGGCTCTACGGCCTGACTTTTCCTAGGTTTGGTCTCCCTGTGCAGCGTCTACAAGTATAGCTTTGTGCTGTAAGTTCCAGAGCAGAAAAGACAAGACTTCTAAGTCGAAGATAAGAGTCGAAACAGAAAATGCTCACAGAATTGAGGAATTGACGAATTTATCATCTGTGACATACCGGTTGGTTGAAATCCGGATTGGTACAGGTTCCATCCACAGTAGGAGAAACACCGGCCAACAGCGCTGAGGGAGAGGGGGTGGTCCCAATGGGGGTGGCGCCAGAGTCGACACCGCCACCTGGAAGAGTGCAGAATTGCACGGCATCGTTCGTGGAGTCGGGCGGGCCGTACTGGCCAGAGCACTGGCTGGGGTTCCTGCAGCAGGAAACGTATTTGCCGCCAGTGGAGTAGCACTGCACAGCACAAGTAAGAGGGTTAGTGGGGTTACGTGAGTGGTTTGAGAAGGCATGTTTCGATGAAGCATGCAAGTTCGTTGGTTTCAAGGTAACCTTTACTTCCCACACTGCAGAACAATGCGCGGCGGATGAGAGCAGCTTCACCGAACGAAGAAAAGAGTGCCTACTCAAACGGGGTTATAGACTTGACACTTGGACTCCGTCCAAATCCAACACCTAGGCAATATCCTCCTCGAACTCTGGTACTCTGATCCAGACGGGTGGGTCGACTTACGTAGTTAGCATCGCTTGGGCAGGAGCCGTCAGGATTAGCGGGAACAGTGGTGACTGCAAAATAACGGAGAGAAAGTTTTAGGATTTGTTTTGGTGTCCACCGCCATTTACCACGAGAAGAGTACATGCAATCCCCCTACACTACTGAGCACCCAGGATCACGTGGTTGCGAAAATCCACACAGATCGCATGATTGCGAAAATCCACAATGATCACGTAGTTGCAAAATTCCACTAAGACCAAGTCTGGATTCGAAAAACCGAGTATTTTGATGCGTTACAACTTTAGGTCGTAACCAAAGAAACCCACGCAGCGTCTGTTTCTGAAACTCAGAAGAATCCGAAACAGAGCACTCTCTTCAGAGCTTCGAAGCTTCCTCCTGCATGCGGACTTGTACAAGACATCCAAGAGAACCCAGTGCATATTCGCAAGAGTCGATCTCTAAGCAAGGGGCGACCAGGAAGAGGCGTCTCCTCACTGTTGCCCTGGAGCAGCTTCCTCATGGTCGCCTGAACTGCGTGCGTAAACTCATTCCGGGAGACGCGCTTAAGGGCAGGGTGGGCGGCCGCCTGACGCTGGCTGAAGGCCACCTCGAAGGTGGTGAAAGGAACGGGCGTCACAATAACGTCAGCACCGGTCAGGTCAACGCAGGAGACGGGCTCGTGGTTGATGGTGGCGGGGGGGAGGGGCACCACAGAGAAGCTGCAAGGACAGATCGTGGCCAAGGTTAGAGATTTGCTTGGTTCAAAAGCGAAATGAGAATTAAATGAATAGAGAGCGTATTTCAATGTGCACAGAAGGATAGAAGGGCTTGTCCTTGACGCTAAAGGTTGGCTACCATCCAGGGGTAATGTAAAATGCAACATTAGAACCTGCATGCAAAGGGTCACTTAGAAGATCTAATCGCCAGGTAATGTTCTTTGAGGACACTGTTGCTGATGACAAGCTAATGGCAAGCTGATGTCACTTGAAGCACCCACAAAGAAAGAGAGGCTTCCAAAGATACATTTCTGCATGCACCCCACAGGCGCCTTGAGAGCAGCTTAACCCAGTAGGATCAGCAGCGAATTTGGTCCAAGAACTCTCAGGCTCGAAAAAAGCTCAACCCAGCAGGATCAGAAGCAAATATATGGATCAAGAAAATGTCACGGGGAATAATGGGACCAACAAGGACCTTCTTCACCCACCTCTTGCCAGCAGCCACAGACTTCATGACCTGCCACTTGATGTCAGCACCGTGCTTGATGGAGTTGTGGTGCAAGAAGAGGGGAGATCCCTCGACATCGTGCTGCACCATGGTGTGCCCGCAGAAGCTCCCGGTCTCAGTCTCTGACCCAGCTGCCGCCACTGGCGTCTCCACCATGAAGAAGGGGGTGCCAGTCGCGAGGAACGCGAGCCGGAATGCCTCCTTGTCTCCGTTCACCAGCTGCTGGAAGGTCGCATCCTTGGCAAGGAAGAATGCGAGGTTGAGAGCGGCCCAAGAGCGGCGCTTGTTGACCACCATCTGGCCAGACTCCTGCTCCCAGCCCTGGGCAGCAACCTCCAGAATGGACCAGATGGGGTTGGAGGATGCTGTTTGCCAGAAGTCGGGCCAGAAGAGGGCTCCGGTGGCAAGGTACTCGGGAGAAGAGAAGAGGGCGGCGGGGTTGGACAGGGGGACGTTGTCAGCATCAAGGAAGAGGACCTCCTCAAAGGCAGAGTTGATGATGGCCAGGGGCTTAGCCTGCAGTGAGGAAAGGAGAAGGGTTAGTTAGTGCTTTTGCTAGAGGAATAGCAACTCCCTGCTAAGGCTAGATTACAGTCAGCCAGGAGGTTGGCCTGCTAGAGGAAATTGTGCATGTGCTGAATAGATGGATCAACATTGAGAAAGAAGGGGGACTTGGAGCTGCCAAAAGAAATAATTGCTGACTGAGTAGCACTAGTAACCCTCCCTGTCGAGAGACAAGCTCTAGGTACCAAGCAGCAATGCCTACAATATTTTCAGCTCAATTTGAGAAGCATCATGCATCAAAAGGTCCAGTAGACACTATGCTCTTGTTGAGAGGACAAATGGGAGAGAATGGTGTATCTGGCCTTGCTATGAGTGAGAGAAACGCAAGTATACAAATCAAGAAGCTTTCCAGAATCGCAAATACAGGGCTCAACACTTCACCATTCACACATGCAGATCAGATTATCCAGAAGGCACAAACATGAACATCAAGAACAATCTCAACAGTCTCACAACCCCAAGTCAAGAAGTATTCTCACAATCGCAGGTGCAGGTTAAGAAGCACTCCCACAAAAGCAAGGCGCCCATGCACAAGTTGAGACCTTTCAACATTTGCAGAGTGTCCCCCACTCTTCCCCGCCCAAAGCAGAAGTGCTAGCTTTCTAAGAGGCAAGAAGTGCGAGCAAGACTACCGATACCACAGGACACTCCCTCTTACCCGGAAATTGCAGAAGGAAGAGCTATTTCATACCCTCATACATGATGAGATAACCACTTCCCTGAACGTTTAATCTAGTATGAAACATTCCCGCTTCTACCTGATATGACAGACCTCTTACTAATGCAAGGTTTCTTGGACATACACACTTAGTGCAGTAACATCTGTGCGGAAAGCATACAACGCTACCTTGGGCGCTACATATGCAGCCTACCCCAACAGAAACAAGGTTGGAGTGGCACTGTTGCCCTAACAGCAGAACAAAGAAATTTGCATCCTCGCAGCTTTCGAGATCTTTTCGTGAACCAAGGGGTTGACTTCTCAGGGATGCCAGAAATGTCACTACCTGGGGACTGACTGGGTGTTCAAAATGGAACACAAGATTCACTCAAAATGCACACAAAATGCACACGTGTTCAGAGAAAGACAACCAACCTGGAACACGCGCTCTCCCTGGCTGGTGACAGTGCTCGTGAGGTCCTTCGCACTGGCATAGTTGGCTACATTGCGGATCACCAGCTTCCGGTAGGTGCTCGACAGGGTGGCGATAACATCAGCGCTGACCTCACCCGAGTACCAGATCTGCAAGGGAGGGAGAAAGCAAATTACAGATATTGTCATGTATTGCTCTGGTTCTCCTTGATGTGCACATAGTATTGTCAGCCTGCAGTCCCACAGGCGAGTGCATAATGCTAGGCGCTGAGCTTAAAGGTAGAAGGACAGAGGAGCTTCTCCATCAATGAGGGAGTCCTGTGAAGAGATGTGGCATTGAGAACCTGCCGTGTTAACCCACACCAGCACCAAGAACAAACAATTGCAAAGCGCATCATGCACTGACTAACTTTCCTCACATTCTTGAAGTTTCAAGACACTGTTTGACCACAACCAGACCGTCACAATGACCAAATAAAGCAATCCTCTATAAGACCCGAACATGGCATAGTGTCATCATAGTTTGTCAACCTAGTTCAGCAATCAAGAACCAGCTGCCGGATACAGCACCTGCTTTCAAACATCTCAGGTGACTGGGTGGCTAACAAAGCTCACATAGTCTGATTCCTGCGCAAGACCCCCCTTTTTCTCTGCACTCTTGCACCTCTTCGATCAGATCTGCACTCGTTGTACAATGTACCTCTCCAGATCTCTGACAACAAATTCATTGATTGCACCTGCTGCACAAACAATGGCGCCTCACCTCAACAGGAAGGTTGAAGCCTTCAGACTGGAGCGTCTCCAGGATGGTCGGCACATTCACCAGATCCAGTGTAGTCGCCGTTATCACCAACCCCCGACCTGAGAAGCGGCCTGTTGGGAACTCAGGAGTCTTAGCCACAACCGACTTCCAGACGGCTGAAAGTTGTGCTGATTGGCTGGCAAGAAGCGGCCATTGGGGGGAAGACAGGCTGTGGAAGTTGCAATCCACGTGCGGTTCCCGGGGGACGCACGCAGCGGCGCAGAGAGCAATGGCGGACAGACCAAAGAGCGCCGCGAGGGCTACCCTTGGAGCCATTGCGAACTGCGATTGGAGGGGCGGGGAGAAAGCGGGTGAGAGAATTGTAATCTTGGAACCTTGGATCTGAAGGCTTTTCAGGCAGAAGGAAGGAGCCGGCTGGTAGGTAGAAGATGATGGCTGACGACTCACAAGAGCTCAGCTCAGAGCTGCAACAGTGCAAAGAAGACTGTCTGCAGTGTGCACGAAATGGAAGGACGCCCGCTGAAGGTTGAAGGACCACAGCTGTACCGTAGTAATTACTAGTTACTACCTAATACCGTACACTCCCACACTTTGCCCAGCGTGAGTGCTCAACTGACAACATACCGTACCGGTACTCCTAGATTTTCGGTACGGAGAACATGTACGGTAGGTTAGGATAACATGAGTCAGGGGCGATTCGCACCCGCAGCATTTTGACTTTCCGATATTAAAGCTTCTTATCGGATCGGTAAAGTTCAACTTTCCGATAAGTCCTTATCGGTACTTTGCTTATCGGAAAGTCACGCCGATCCGATAAGGAATTCTGGCCCTTATCGGAAAATTATGACTTTACCTTTCCGATATCCTTATCGGATCGGCGCAAAACTCGGGCAACTTTCCGAAAACTCCTTATCGGTACTTTGCTTATCGGAAAGTCACGCCGATCCGATAAGAATCCTATAAGCTTCCCTATCGGGGTTTCGACAATAAAGTTTCGAAAATCTCCACGCACCGTCGACAAAATTGCTGCAATCCAAATCAAGTACACAACGTACTGAAAAGTACTGCAAACGGAGCTAAAAGTAGGGGGGGGGGC